TGTTGCAGGTCTCGTAACCTCCAGTGTCAGCGGATTTTCCAGGTGAACGCTCCTATTAACTGCGTCTGCCTGCACCCCAACCAGGTGAGCACCAGCTCCTCCGCGATCCCCCAGCTCATCATGCTTTGCTGTGGCTCCTCTGGGTAAACCAGGGGGCTGCAGAGTTTTATGCTGGCAGACACAGCAAAAAATCCAGGGGCTGGCTGGCGAGGGCGGCCCTCCTGGTGGCACAGGCCCACGAGCTCTCGGTGGCATTGCTGGACAAGCAGCAGCCGGCTTCCCGCAGCCAGGCCGTCCGTCCGCCTGCTCCCTCGCCGAGCTGCTGCCGCCGGGAGCTTTGGGTCGGTGTGGGAACACAGCCCACGCGGCACGGGAGCCAGCAACAGCAGACGTGCAGTCCCTCCGTCTGCCCCGGGAAAGCCAACGCTGCTTTGTGCGGTGGAGCAAAACTCCCCGAGCAGCGGCGCTGGGAGTAAGCGGGTACCGCAGGCTCACGTTGTGCCTGCAGCAGGCGTCCATGCCACGGCCCGGGGGCTTTGTCCGCTGAGCTCGTTTGCCAGCCGGTGCGTTTGTGCTAATTACCTGCTGGCTGTTGCAAAGAGACAGCAGAGTGGCTGCACTGGGTCTCTCGTCCCATAGGAGGGGACGCTCCTTTGGGGCCACCTCTGTCCCAAGAACATAACCAAGGGGATGTGATGGGAGTGGAACTGGTGGCGTGGGGCGGGCTGGGGAGCTTGAGGGTGGCACCGCTGCCAAGAAAAAGCGTCTCGGGGCCCGTGGCCCCGACGACTTTCGGGACTTCGGTCAGATTTGCTCAAGATTCACCAGCCGGTCCAGAAGCTGTTGATAAACGGCGGGATGGCTGGGGCTCGGGAAACGAGGCTAAAAGGGAGCGCGGTGCATTAGAGGGGACGGCGGTGAAAATCAATACGTATCATTGCAGTGTTAATAACCGGTCTGGTCCATTTTGTATTCACAGCGCTGCGGGGTTTGTTTGCAGTTGGGGCAGTGCAAACCTTTTTAAAAAGCTGAGTAATAGAAATGTTTCTTTGCATTTGATTTTGCAAAGGTTTAATTTTGCAAGTCCTGAATTTCGGACCAGATTTGAGATCAATTATTTGGACCAGACTTTACCCAAATGCTGCCGCTGCTCCTATAGTGCCAGTGCTGTGAGAATGTATTACATTAAGATCTACGTACAACAATAATATCTGTTTTACTTGTGAAATGATCACTAACCAAGATGCTGCTGAGTTGCAGGAGAAGTGTTGGTTTGTGAGCAGAACGCAGTTAATTAGTCCAAAGGTGGCAGTATTTATTCAGATAGCTTCATGGCTCCGCAATCCCCTGCTGCAGCGATGCTGATCCAGTTATCCAAGAGAGATTTCTCACAGCCTGGGTAAAGCCATGACGGCTTTAGCAATCGCGCTTACACCTGCTAAGAGGGGGCTAAGGACTGAGGCGACCAGAAGACGGTTCTGCACTGTGCAGTCAGCTAAATATATCGAGCGATGGCCGTCTTCCTCAGAAACAAGCCGTTGCTCACAGGTACAGGATTAGCTGTGCCCGATGACCTGATCTCCTCTAGGGATTCTGCTAAAATTATGGGCAGCGCAAGACTGTCGATAAAAGCCCTGGTTTTAGTGGAGCGCCGCCAGCATTGTCTTCTGGTCTGCGCACGGGATCGGAGCCAGAACTCGTGCCCTTCAGCTGGCTCTTGTCCTTCCCCTGAGAAGGAGAGAGAGAGAGAGAGAGAAAAACCCATTTCGGCTTGTGTTTTTGAGGTATCTGTACGCTCTTGAGCGCTTCAGTTGTTTGCTGGCCAACTTGCATCTTAATGCCCTCTTCTCAGACGTGCTGAAAATCATTTGGCTTCTGTGGATGTTGTTTGGAGCTGTAGCTGAGAGAGAGAGAAAACCCATTTCGGCTTGTGTTTTTGAGGTATCTGTACGCTCTTGAGCGCTTCAGTTGTTTGCTGGCCAACTTGCATCTTAATGCCCTCTTCTCAGACGTGCTGAAAATCATTTGGCTTCTGTGGATGTTGTTTGGAGCTGTAGCTGCGCAACGGTTCTGGAAATCAGGCAGCCGCTGTCTGCTCTGGGGTTTATAAAATTAGCGAACACTTCTGTAAAGGTAAACAGCCTTTTTGCAGAGTGTCGTGTGAGATTAGCACTCTGCCTGCTCTCAGCGCACAGGGGCAGTCAGCAGGCTGCTGGAGCTCTGAAACAGCCCTGTGCTGGGGAATAACTGGGCAGAACAGGACGCTGGTGCTTAAAACCAGAGCAAGGCTCCACGTGGTGCTCCACGGGCACCATCTGGGCGTTGGCTCGGGGCTGCTGCTTGCGGGGTTCTCCCTCAGAGAGACGAGGCTGCTGGTTTCTTGCAGGCAGAGCTAATTGTGGGGGATCAGAGCGGTGCCATTCACATCTGGGACCTGAAGACAGACCACAATGAGCAGCTGATTCCAGAGCCCGAAGTTTCCGTGAATTCGGTTCACATTGACCCCGATGCCAGTTACATGGCGGCTGTCAACAGCTCGGTGAGCTCCAACCGCCTCGAACGTGGGATGGGCTGCGCCTCCCGTGGGCAGGGGCAGCCGCTCTGCACCTACCGGCTTTGCCTGCGGCTTTGCTGTGCCGCGGTGGGGTGTGGAAACTCCGGGCTGCTCTTGGGTGGGTGACCACCAGCCCGGCCACAGATCCCCCTGTCTCGCCGCAGGGAAATTGCTACGTGTGGAACCTAACGGGCGGCATCGGAGAGGAGGTGACCCAGCTGATCCCCAAGACCAAGATCCCAGCGCACAACCGCTACGCCCTCCAGTGCAAGTTCAGCCCCGACTCCACGTGAGTGCGTGCCAGCCCCTCGCCTACCTGCGACGGGAGCAGATGGTCCCTTCCAGGCAGGCAGAGACCAGCTGTGCCTCCAGCTGTTGGCTGATGCTGGCTCCGCATCGCCCCGCAGGTCCCCCAGGGAGGAGCGGGACGGGAGGCACGGGGGACACGGGGACTGGGTCGCTGGCAGTGGCATCCCAGCCTCGTGCTCCGTGATCTCAGAAAGCTTTGCAGCCACGAGCTGTTCTTACAGCTGGGATCGAATTGCTGATCTCTGGGAGCAGAGTGGTGAACCTGATGTACTCCTTCACCAAGTCTGTTCGGCTTGAATCTCATAAGGCAGATGATATAGGCGTAAAGAAATCTGATTACAATGAACGCAGGTCTCCAGATTGTTACCGTTCCAGGCCCACGTTAACGAGAGGCCCTTCGGCGTACAGAGTGACTCGTAAGGTTACCCTCGCGCGTCTCTTCCTTGCAGGCTCTTGGCTACATGCTCTGCAGATCAGACGTGTAAGATCTGGAGGACTTCAAACTTCTCTCTGATGACAGAGCTGAGCATCAAGAGCAATAACCCAGGGGAAACGTCTCGGGGCTGGATGTGGGACTGCGCGTTCTCCGGGGACTCCCAGTACATCGTCACAGGTGAGGCACTGCCGCGCTCCTGCCCTCGGCCCACCGCTTGATTTGGGCTACGCCAGGCCCCCAGCAGCAGGGCCCTGCACCGGCACAGGACTTGGCAGTTTCTCTAACTGGGACGTTGCCAAACCCTCCTGCACCAGTATGCGAGGAGAGGGCACCCAGCCCCACGCCCACAACGCAGCCTGCTAATTCCTTTAAGCATTTTGCCTGTGCTGCAGCGGGGCGTCTGTTTAAACTGGAGAGGTGATCTTCACGTGTGCAGTTTATTTCACCTGCTAGCAATGCTGCTTGCAGTACGCAGCATGATAGTCCTTTCAAAACATACGTGTTGTAATTTCCACAGTAAGTTCCCTCCGAAATAATTAAAACCTCACGTAATACAGAAATGCACTAAGCTTCTTGCTCTGCACGGCTCCCTTAGCTGTCGTCAACAGCCCTAATAAAGGTGTTGAATGAAGCAAGAGGAAAGTCTTTCTTATAATAATTAAAAAAAAAAAAGTTTAAAGGGTAATGCAATATATCCCACTCCTCTTTTCACTTTCTGTTCCAGCCTCCTCTGATAACCTGGCCAGACTTTGGTGTGTGGAGACAGGAGAGATCAAGAGGGAATACAGCGGCCACCAGAAAGCAGTCGTCTGCCTTGCTTTCAACGACAGCGTGTTGGGATAATGGTCACGTGTGGGAAGGAAAGGACCTCTGCTTGTTTTCCTTCCTCTTACAGTGGCAAGCACCCTCTCTGGAGCCCGAGACATGCACTTGTAACCGTCCCCTGCACTGATGGGGAGGGCTCGGTCTCTGGCAGAAGCAGCTGCGTTTGCCTGGAGTGAGACCAGGCTTCAGCTCCAAGCAGATCATTACCGAAACGTGTGCGGCCTCTAAGGGAGGCCGCTTGGACGAAAGGGAATGGGCGAGGGAGGCACGATCCCACTGAGGGGAGCTGGGTACGGTTCAGCTGGAGGAATCCCTGTGGCATCAGCTGCTGACAGCTTTGTGATGTTCTTGTACCCCACAGTGGAAGAAAAAAAAAAAAAAAATCAGCTTTTCTAAATGATGGAAGAGGCTGAGCAAAGAGCGGAAAGGCAGCTGCTTCCTTGTTTTGCAATCCCTTTATTCAAAGTGTATTTCACAGACTTACTTGGAGAGCTGCGCTCTTATAAAGCCAACCACCCCCAACAAATTTAATAACCTTGTGTTGAGCAGGGCATGTAGCCGTAAAACACTAGCTACTCCACGTGATTCCTCTAGGCCTGGATCTCCTAATACCTACGTACACGATGCAGCCCTGGAGCACAGCTGCAAATAAAGTGTCTGCACTGACAGTGCTGAGCGGAGTCCTGGTATTTTTCTACTCTCTCCTGAACTGCAGCATGAAATCAGCAGGAAGCTTTTGGGGGATGTTGTAGATGTTACCTTCCTTGTCGAAATCAGAGGCTTTTCAGGAATCCAGTTCAAGTATGTAGAGCAGCGAGAGGGCGGCCACAGGACTTACTCAGGGAGGTAATAGAAGCAGATAGACACACAAATGTTGCTTGGAAAACAGATGTCAATGCACAGGTAGATCAGCCGCTGCTTCCCTGGACCTGCCAAATGAGCAAGGGCAGAACCAGGGTGAGAGGAATGCTGCAGTCCTGCAGATACCAGTCCCTGGGGAGCCGAACAAGTGGAAAGCCTCCGGGAATGACCTTTCTCATTAAAGCTGGAGTAAGACAGAACAGAATGAGAGCTCAGCAGGCTGCTTCTGGTGAAGATGAAGGTGACAGGTATTAAACCAACAGTGTCCCAGGGGACTGCTCTGTGTTGTGGTTGTGCCGCGCAAGCGGGCTGTGCTGCCCGGGGAAGGGGGCTCGGAGCCTCTCCCAGCCAGCACCACGGTTCGCTGCAGGTTGTGGGTACGAGCCAGCGCTTGGCGATCGCTGAATAATAGTTTGATTTTGAACTAGAGGTCACCTGTCCCTGTCCCGGGCCTTGGCAGCCTGTCCTGGATCGTGCATCAGCTTTTGCGCAGCAGAGCCCGCTCCTCTTAGATGTACTAGAAACAATCGTGCTTCCCTCTTCTGCAAAGGGACACGTACAACTTACCCTCCCCTCTCCTGACCCAGAAGATGGATGTCTGCTCGCACAGGGTCCGGACAGCCTCCCCCAGGTTTTCGGGGTCCACCTGTTCCCCCGCCAGAATGCCCAGGAACTCCCGGTAGTACTTGGTCTGGTTATTCTGACGTAGCATCTGATCGGCCTGAAAGAAATGTCACTGTTAATTCCTCCCAAGGCACTTTGCTCCTCCCAGCACTGCCCTCCAGCCCCGCAGACCTGCTCTCGCTTTCAAGGCACCCAAAGAGCAGTCTCTACCCCAGCAGCGAGGGCAGGTTTCTCCCGACAGCTGCCCCGTCCCACCAGGCTGCCGGGACGCTCGCCCTGGCCAGAGCAGCCTCCCAGGAAAAGCCTGGCTGCCGGGGGCGAGGCTGGAGCGGGGACAGCCCGCAGCCCCTCGCTAACCCCGCAGCTTGGGAAGCAGGGGACGCAGTTCCTCCCGGGCCCCTCGCTGGGCTGCTTTGTCCCCAGGCCCGGAGCTAAAACACCCCGTGCCACACCCACCACGGCCGGCCAGCAGAGGAGCATCGGTCGGACCCGTGCCTGCCCGCCCAGCGCCGCCGCCGCCGCCACCCCCCCGGGTTCGGCCGCATCACACACACGGGTACCCCAC